CCGCTCATATATGAAGAGGATACCTATTCTGAGATAAAGGTATGATAGGCCCTATTTCGTATAAGACAAGAAGTCCTAGTTTGAGCATAGAGCTTGCTCTACTAGGTAGGAACATGAGCATGATGGATGGATGTGGATGAATTCTTGTATATGTATATTACATTGCTTTTACAGAAACACATGCTACTTTATTTCTTGTCTATGATTTTACATATTAACTGATATTTAGGTTATATCCAAGTTACTGGAACATACATCTCACTCTGTTAGTTTTGAACATAGGTAAAGAGAGAACAAGAAGGTTGGGAAAGGAAGTGAGAAAAGAGTAGCCTCAATTGGTAGTGGTATGACTACCATTGTGTAAATGAATATATAATACGTTGTTAAGGTTTAAGTTTCCAACTAAGATGTATAACTGTATGTGAAATGATTATATGTATGTGTATGTGAATTGTGGTTGAAAACTTGCTTGTATATATATATAATCCTATATCTCGCTGATGGTACCTTAATGATGGGTGCGTCGGTAGGCCTTAATGCCAAACAAGCAAGTGTATGTTATTATGTAACTTGTTCCACTTGTATGAATGTGAATTGAATGTAAAATTATATGTACATGTGAGGACTTGACACAAATAGTGAGGCTGAGCCCTATTTGAAATAGTCGAGTATATTTGTGATTCCTGACCATATGTGAGGTATAACCCCTTATGTAAGAGTCAAATGATTGAAAGTGGAACAAGTTTATATATATTATATTATATAGGTTGTGCCTCTTATAAGTCTACAAGTCTATAATGCGGCATTGAAAGGTCAATATGAGTATTTGATTTGATATATATGATTTGATGTGTCAAGTATATATAGCCCTTTTGGACTTAGTTCAAGGCCTAAAGTGGTTTAATGGGACAAGGAATGAGAAATAAACACTTAGGATACAAGTTTTGAAAGAAAAAATAGCTTTTTACACCTGGGTATCCAATTTTAGATCAGATCATTGAATCTGGTCCAAACTTGTCTTATTAGATAGAATATGTTATAAGCTTCATGTAAGTACTTGAATCACTCTAATCGGATATCAGATATGGAAATGGTACACGAAAAAAGTTCATCTTTTGAGCTATCATATGATAGCAGAATTTGTTGCCATATGTGCCACGACGTATTATGTGCCATGCCGCGACATATGGTATAGAGAAGAACAGAGCATGTTGCTCTGTATCACATGATGCGGTGCATGGTAGTATAAGCCATAGCGCATGGCACTTTCTTAGGGGAAAAATGTTGTGTTTCATTAAGTTATAAAATTATATTTACGCTTCCATTAGCCCTCTTATTTGAACATATGTTTGACGAAGTTAGGATCCCATATTTTGAAAATAATGTGAGGGCTTTTACTCTAATATTGTATTGTGATTGTATTGTTATATGTGTGAATGTAATAGTAAAGTCCATATTAAAGTAGGGACTTTACATATATCATTTAGCATATTCAAATATAATATTTCATATCCACACATCATTTTCACACTCTAACATGATCATTTTATCATCCAAGCCTCCATATTACCCTGACTAAAACTAAAAGCTCTATTAGACAAAATGCTCATACATATTAGCCTAAGCACACCCTCAGTGGTAGAATCACCTTACTAAAGGTGTCCTATCCTACTTCCAAACTATGGTTCCACCTATCACACACGATTCGAGGTGTCGTTACTCCAACACCATATCATAATAATGCTAAGGAGCGTAAATCTCCAACACCACACCCCACATAAGTGCTAAGGAGACAATCTCTAACACCATACCTTAATAGGTACTAAGAAGATAAATGTCATATAGACTTTCACTACTCCTTCCTACGGGTGAACTCTCACCACCAAACATGATCATGCTCACTCTTTTCATGCAAATCACCTATTTTCACCCAAACCACAATTACTCATATAACGATACTTTTATAACATTCATTGTTTTAAAAGTCATTATTTATGCACAAAATCCTCATTTTGCAATATGCAACACTTTAAAACACATATATGCAAAATTATATATTTACTCACAAATAATTAAGCACTTAATCAAGTAGAATGAATCATTCAGTTACCTCAACTCTTTTATTACAAAAAGGGTTACCGTGGTCTAATATGTGCTCCACAAGGTCTATATGCGTAATAACACCCAAGCAATATTTAATCTATAAGATTAAGTGATAATCATCGATTATCACTCTAATTAAACTCCTAAGTCACTAAATTTCGGTACCTATTATACCCAAAATCTCATTTTAACACCACCAACACTTCCAGCATACTCCATTAGTTCCATTTAGCACCCAAACACACTAATAACACTAATCCTTTATCCACATTATTCTAATTCTAAAACCCCTAAATTTTACTTAGGCTTTGTCTACCTTAACCAAAAATTTCAAATCATTACAAAACCCATAAACCTAGGTTTAAAAGCTTGATTTAACTCTCCAAGCACTTAACTAAGCCAATGAGTTCAGTCAAAACCTAAGGAAAGATGAAATCAAACCCCATATTACCCCAAAGTTAGAGAAATTCACATAATAGGGAAGGAGAGGGGAAATGGAGCTTACCTAATTATGAATCTTGTTCCAAATGCCTCCAAATAGATCCCAATATGATGCACTAGCAGCCTCTAATGTCTCCTCCATCTGTCCTCTCTCATTTCTTTCTTTCCTCCTTTTGAAATCATATGCATTTCGCATCTAATTTAAGCTAAAATTTGGTCGTGTGCCATGGCACATGGCACAATGAGTGCCATCTGCCATTTTGGCATCTCACTCGAGCCCAGTTAACCTGTACACCATCTTAACTCATTTCTCAAGTTGCCCAAAGGTCTAAAAACCTTATTAGTGTCCCAAAAACATTATTAATTCATAAATCACTAATTTGACCAATATGCCCTTCTTAAACACTCAGTTTTAAGTTGAAAGCTCAAGATGTTACATAAGGTTGTAAAATTTCTTGTTGCATATGTAATTTTTCTCATGTGAGGGGGTGCATTTTGCCCCCTATATAAACATGGCTCCGCCACTAGTTACAAATTTATGAAACCGTCACAACCATATCAAATTACAAGAGAGGAGGGAAGGGAGAACAAATAATAAAACCAAGAGAATGGAGTTGGTCTTCAAATATTTAATTCCTTTCCAAGCTCTTCAAACTCTCAAACCTTAGCACACAAAGCTTTCAAAGTGCCTCAAAGTCTAAATAATGTGTCCAAGTTGAAATATAAGCTTATATACTTCTAGACCTAACTTTTTCAGTTAATAAAAAAGCTTCGTTTTGCTACCAACAAGTGAAAGTTGCAAAGTCATAGCCAAAGTGACAACTTTGGATTGTTATGTGCACTCACCACAAGAAAATACTAATTTTGTTCTCACAAAATTTTCTTTCAAAAAAAATATTGGAAATTTTTTTTGTCTAAATTTGTCTCAAAAGCCTCTTCTAAAAAATTAATCATGGAATTTGCATGAAAACCCAAATAGAGAGAAATTCCAAGAGAACGATGAGAGAAAATTAAAGAGATAAAAAACCCTCTCGATGGTAGAAAATTTCATCTCAATAAAATATTTAAGAAATGTTTGATAGAAACAAAAAATTTGTAACCAAAAAAGAAAAGAAAAGAAAAGAAAAACTCATTAAGTTTTTTTTGAATTTGTCCAAGAGAAGCTCTCTCTCAAAAAATCTAAGATAAATTTGATGAGTTCTCTTATATAATACTGAGAGATTTGGATTAAGCTAAGAGAAAATTTCTCTTGGACTAATTGGAATGAATTTCTCTCGGATTAAATTGAGAAAAATGTTTCTCTCAAAAAAAATTGAGAGAAAAGTGCTACTTGAAATATTTAAAATTTTCTCTTGGAACAATCTAAGAGAAATTTCTTGCAGGTCTTTCTAAGAGAAACTCTCTCAAAATTTACCATGAAAAAAATTTAAATTTCTCTCATTTTTCCAAGAGAAATTATAAAATACGTTTTATATATATTATTACTTATTGAATACGCATATTATGCATATTATTGAATGATCTTGTTCAAAAATGTGACAAAAGTGATTGTAAAACAAAAGTGGTTAAATGCTAAAAGGGGTTGGGTCTAGCATCACAATGTAACAAATTAAAATTTGAATCCCTACTCAAAGGGTTGCCCAAATTTAATTCTTGACCATGCATTAAACAAGATTACCTATAATAGAAAAAGATAAATATGCAATAAAAAACACAATAGAGATTAGACATGAGAGGCATGAAATAGTGTTAATAAACTAATATATATATATATATATATATCGAGAGAGAGAGAGAGAGAGAGAACTAATATATATATATATATATATATCGAGAGAGAGAGAGAGAGAACTAATATATATATATATATATATATCGAGAGAGAGAGAGAGAGAGAGAGAGAGATTATTAGCAATATATCAGATTGTTGTAAACCCAACTTTCAAAGGCCATATCTTGAAGATTTGAACTACATTACCTCAACTATACAAAGATAAAATGATCAATATTATCAAACCCGGATTAAACCAATCAAGAGCCAACCTATGATATGGTTAGAAAAAACGGAGAAGTTAACTAGAACTAGTCAAAAATCATTTTTCAATTTTTTTTAAAAATCTCAACCACATAAAATTATGTTACTTTATATTTTTGTCTTATAATTGATTTTATATATATATATATATATATGATGATTCATTAATAATTTTTTTTTGGGTGATGATTCAATGGTGATTTTAATATTAATAAAAGCTTGGGTTGAATTGACAAGACCATGTTATATACTTGATGATTGTGGTTATTTGTAATAGACAATATATAATTTCATTAGAATATTAGTACAATTGACTATAAATTTGATGCGTTTGATAAGAATATGATTAAATATTATATGAAATATTTTTACTTTTATACGTAATGTTTAAATTATATCGTCCTAATTGAGACCGGTCGAGTTATTGTCTAACCACGATCGCTGAAATAGTGCCTTGTCCATAAATACCCAATTCAGTTCTGATAACATTGACAATGGTGACTCTAGTCCATAGCCCTTGGCTTTGCCGCCAAATACAAAAACCAAAAAAAAAAAAGGGGAAAGCCGCAGGTCTTTATATAATATAGAACAGTTTGACTGCTGCAGATCATTCAATGTGCCACAGGCCAAAAAGCATGATAAAGAAACCTCTTGCCTGTGATAGCATTGAGGATAGATTCTACTTTCTTCCTACATAAGCTCCCAATTTAGACAAATCTGGAATCCAAAATGACAGCTCAGAAGATCCAGTCGCAAACATAAGACTTCCAGGTGCCCATTTTATAACAGGAGGTCCAATATCAGAAGTTGCACTCATCCAACTTGCCACCTAGACAAATTAATTAATGAGCATTAACATCAGAAAGACAAATGTTCACACGAATTCAAACTCCACAAAGAGGGAAAAAAGTTCAAGAATTGTACAGACAGTAGGTTTCTTTAGCACAAGTTCCTTCAGAAATGCTCGCTTCAATTTCCAACATGCATCATCCAATATTTATTAATTTATTGAATTTATGTTGAAATATACAAACTCTCCTGACTTTTAAAGCAGTTGCATAGATCACTTTTAACAATTTAAAATTAACCGCCTTAACGCTTTATTATTTTAACCACAAACTTCCCTAATGTTATTTTTTAATTATCTGATTGAAAGAATTTGTCATGTTATATATTAAGAAAAAATATATAGCTACTTATGTGGCATTAAATGTTAGTTAATAATAGCTTTATAAAAATTTTATCCATATTTTTCCATTATTATTAGCTCACATCATATGCCACATAAGTTGTCACACGTCTTTTTCTTAATATGACATGACAATTTCTATTAGTCAAATAACTAAGAAATAACATCAAGGAAGTTTGGTGAAAAGAATAAAAGGTTCGGAGGTTAATCTTAATTTTTTAAAGGTAAAAAGGGGTCTTGTGCAACTGCTTCGAAGTTCAGGAAAGATTTTTATATTTTAGCCTTAAATTTATTAAGATTGAAAAATTTCACACGCCTTGCAGCATTTTACTGTCAGAAAACTCGATAATTTACTTGACATTTATTGTATTACAAGAGGAACAAGTAATGAAAACTACGTGAACCAAGAAGAAATCATTTATGAAATGCAGAGAAAAGAACGAAAGTATATCCTATCATACTTCCTTCCCACTACGAACACTCCATGCATAGACACTTCCATTCCCTGAACCTGTCAAAAAGATTTTAAGCCTCACAGAGTATATCTTTGGTAACAGATCAAAGCATATAATTAACAAACAAACAAGATATGCTTGCTGGACTAAGAAGGGCAAGAAACAAGGTGCCATGACACCATAAATACGAAAGCCAAGACTTTCTCCAAAACCTGATTTAAAAAGAAAAAAGAAAAAAGAAAAAGAAATGAAAGGAGTGGGAGAACTTAAATCAAGATTTAAAAAAAAAAAACTAATTTTGGCAAAAGCATGAGTTAGCAAGTCACAGACAACAGAAAACTTCCCGGTGATCCATATAGAATCGTCTTTACTGTTACCTGATATAACAAACATTCCCTCGGGACTGAAGGAAGCATCTAATGTGGAATCACATGAGACTGGGGTAACATTATATGTGGATAACTGCACACACCAAGGATAAGAGAGAATTGATACATAGTGTTTCAATCAAACAAGAGTAAAGGAGGTAGGATAATCTTAAAGTAGGAAAGATACGAACAAGTGTTCCACGAAATGAATCAAGTACGTGAATATGTCCACTTGCAGTGGTTAAAAGCATAAGTCTCCCATCATTACTAAACTTCACAACATTTGCATCAGAAATGTCTGCCCCGACAGAAAATATCTCAAAGGGACCCTGCCAGAGTGAAATTCATCATACAAGGGCATGCCATCTCAAAATGAAAATCAAAGGGTTAACCCAAATCTTCAACATATTCTAACATTACATTCACTAACCTTTTCATACTTGCGTGCATCAAACATTCTAATAAACCCTCCAAATGCAATTGCAAATACTAGCCCTTGATCATCATACGATACAGCAGGCCTTCCTTGTACTCGTAAAAGTCCCTATGTTGTTTCCAAAGTAAGTGAGAAACCCCAGGAGATTTATACTATGTATGAGACTACAAAATGGGGGGAAAAAAACTCCAGCCAAAATCAGAAATTGCAAACCACCGAGCCAATATATGAAAATGCCCTCTACCTGGCACTTTTCAGCCCTTTGATCCCACAGCAAAACAGTTCGATCAAGAGAGCCAGAAATAAAGCAGTCTTTGCGAGAGCACAAGCTAAGGGAGACAACCCTAGGAAAAAGAATAATATTCCATTATAGAAAAAAAGGATTGTTTTATAGTTCTATGCAAGAAAATTTTAGACTGGAAAATGTACATGCTAGTTCAAGGGATAGATAAAAGGGGAGGAAAACCTGTCATGGTGACCTTTGAAATATCTCAAGTACTTGTTATCATGCAACGATAGCAGCCGCAAAGATTCTGGATTAATTGATCATATTAGTAAAAGAGTTTAAGAATAACAATTGAAGCGAATACTACCAGAAAGGGGAAGACTTACCATCCCAACCATTTTTTGATGAGTAAATGACTGTTGTAGGATGAGATGTGAAGCAAACCAGGTCAACCCCATATTTCTTGCTGTTAATTGTCTTCAAACATCTGGTAACTTAAGGCATCTCAAATTAATGCAATCAACCCAAGAAAAGGAGGAGGAGAAGGAAGCACCACAAGAATTCATTTTTCTACTGTAAACATATAAGATGGATATTCATAACTTTCTATGCCCTCCATAAAAACATTCTATAAGAATAGCACCATTGCAAATAATGTTCTATTTTTTTTTTTTTTTTGATAACTTCCTCAATATGCCTACCCAACCACTTAGTCGAAGCCTTGCAAATGGAATCATTTGTCTTGTTGCAGGTTTTCATGATTTACAACCACAGCTGAATTTACATAGCCCTCAATGCACATTGCAACAACAAAGAAATCACATTGTGATCATTGGTGTCATATTACAAATGTTAAGGCCCCTAAGTGTTTCAAGAATTCATTATGTCAAGTTATGAGATTCTTGTAAGCATAAATTAATTAAAAGGTACAACAGACAAATATTGTTCCACAAAAATAAAAGATCTAAGATGAAGTTACAATTATGCAGCAGACTAAAGATTTTAAAGGCTTCTCTCTCTCTCTCTCTCTCTCTCTCTCTCTCTCTCTCTCTATTTGTATCTGCCAATTTTTCACATATCTAAAGGCAGAAAAATTGGGAATTACGGCTTACGTTCCACCAGTGATATCATAAAGGCGAATGGATTCATCATCACTAGCAGTCACTAAGTAACTCGATGCCCTGTGAAAATCCATTGAACTAATTCGACCGTTCTGTTGAAACAACGAAAAAGGCCTCAATGAGTAAAGTATTAAGGATGGCACAACAAGCAGTGAGATGTTAAGATTGAAAAGCCATTCCCCAAACTGTAGAATTTGCTCTATCAATATGTATAGAATTTGCTCTCTTCAGAACAAGTGATTGACACCAAAGTCTACGGTATATTGGCACAATTCCTTTGATCAATAACTGAAATTTATGTTCGGATATCTGGTGTCGCTTCAAACAGGTGGAAACAAGCACAGCACTAAAATTTTAAATACTCATGAAAAATCATAATGATCAAAGCACTCACATAGTCTTTAAAAGCCATTCCTACTTCCATACTTTGAAGAATTTCTTCACTCAGCTCCAAAGACACCTTTTCTTCTCGCTCAGGTTGTGTCCCTACAATAATTTGAAATTGAGAAAACTGGACAAAAACCAAACAGAACGCAAACACCTAGCACCAACAAATCTAGTAAAAAGTCTTCCACGACCACCCATAATAGCATCAACTGTGTCTTGAATCTGAGAAGTTCAGGACGATTTCTGCAGTAACAATTTTACAGCCTCAGTTAGGAAAAAAAAAAAAAAACAATCAAACATCAAACCAAGGAGCCATTTTGGTAAGGAATTCCGGATTTAATGCTACAGCAGACCTAAAGATGAAGCCAAAAGATGGCGGCAGGAGAGAACTTAACATAAATCCTTCTATTGCGGCCACTGAACAAACCGATTCAACGTACAAGCAGAAGAAAAAGGAGATACTACAAGATGCTGGGGCGAACCGAGCTCGGACAGAGGACGTGACTGAGAGCTCTCTCACGTACGACGAAGGAAACGAAAACGGAATGGATACATGGGAGGAATTCGGTTGATGATGGGGCCTGAGATTAAAGCATTGATAGCCTCTTAAAAACTGGGCTAATAAGGGATATAAGAGGCCCAATTAAAGAAAATAATAGGAAAATCATTTTAACCTCTTGCTCATGATTCAAGTCAAGCAATCCAAATAAAAAAGATGTCAATTATTGCAATTTAGTTATCGATGAAACAACTATGCTAACAATTAATTATTTAATAATAACTGGCAATTTCAACAAAGGCATAAACTTTTAGAATAATTTTATAATTTTATAAAACATTTCTGTATTTAGATTTTTTATGTCCAACCTATGAAACGTTTCTCCCAAAATAATGTATGTTATCAGTGATTTTTTTTATCTATATTTATTATATTTACTGTCGAATGGTACTGTTCCTACTTTTATACTTTTTTTTTGTAATTTTTATTTGTCATCGATCGGATTGGATCTGACTTTTAACTTTTTTTACATTTTTATTTGTGACTGTTGGATGATACTGTATATCTACACTACGATCGACTTTTTATTATTTTTTAATATGATACATTAAAAAAGTTACAAAATAATATGGGCCTTATAGTAAAAGAAATACATGTGGAACGTAAAAGAAAAAAAATTTTCCAGTATGAAACTTATAATAAAAAATAAGTAAAATATTTTTTCTATTTTTATCTTAATTAATGATATATCTCTACTATTTTTTGAAATCTATATAAATATTTTTTTATATGAATAGTTATAAAATACGAGCTTTTCTTATATTTTTAAGATTTTGTTTTCATTCATCCAATCATTAGTTGACTATTAAATCATATATATTGAATCAAAATACCCCTATTTAAATATAAATATTGCCTAAATATAATTTAAATGATCAAAAAATTATTTTTTTTATTATCTAAATGTATTGATTTTATAACTTTTTAAAAAATTAAATATATAAATTAGCCAAAAAAATATGCAAAGGAAGGGGTTTACATTTATAAATGTGAGTGGGAGCTATAATTTAATTAATAAAATTTATTAATTAAATACATTGGATAAAAAAACTTTTCCATATAAATTTTCATTTGAAAATGTTAAAATTTTAGATAAAATGCAAAACATAATAGAATTTTTATATTTTAAAAGATCATATAAGATTCATATTAAAAATTAGAGGTGGATATATGATTTTTACTAATAAAGAAAAAATAAAATAAAAATAATTTTTAATAATTTGGGATAGTTCAATTAAACTAACTTAAATAAATCCAAAAATTAAAGGTGTCAAGAGTCAGATTTGATCATAAATTTTTTTTTTATATTTAGATATTCCAAATTCAATATGAAATAAGGTTCTAAGAAAAATGAAAAGAATGTAAAATTTTAATAAACTTAATTTTTAAACAATTGAAATTACGTGGTATAAAAAAGTGCATGAAACTTGTCATTAAAAAATGCAAATGGAATCTATATTTATAAATGTGAGTGGGATCTGTGATTTAGTTAATAAAATTTATTTATGTGAGATTAAAACTAATATGCAAATTTTCATTTGTAAATATTAGAATTTTAGATAAGATGCCATTATAGTATATGTTTTATTTTCCTTAAGGTATTATATAGGGCAACACATTTTTTTTTTAAAAAAAAAAAAGCTAGATTATGTTTCAAATTGTAGTAGGCAATAAATGTTAAAAAATAATTATATTTTTTATTATGTATAAAAATAACTCATTGCAAAATAGAAGTTGTTTCTTATGAATATTATCCTATTAAAATTTTAATCTCATACTTACTAGCTATGGGGATAGTTTAGAGAAAAAAGAAGAATTTATTCATTAAATTTTAACTTATACGGGATAGTACATTCTAAAATAAAATAAATTATGATTTATATTTTTAATATATATGGAAAAAATAAATTTTAAAATAAAATATTTTTTAGATTTTAATTTTCACAAATTAATATATTATAAAGTAAAATACACTAGAATTTCTTTTGTTTTGTTAGAATTATAAAGACTTCTTCTTCATTTTAAAAACTTATACTTTAGTCTTATTTTCAATATGGTTAGGAATATTATGTTAAATATTCTAAAATATTTGATTTATTATTTGTATTTATGTTGACAAAATTTAAATTATTAATTTACTCCTATAATCTATTTGTCTGTTTTCTTGCTTCTTAATTTAAGGAATTTCAAACAATTTTTGGAAAAAAATTTAAAAATTAATTATTTCAATAATTTAAAATTATTTTATCAAAATTATAAAACTTAAATAAACATAAAATATAAATTATATTGATTAATTTCTCTCTTATTCCATTAAGTTTTTTTTCTACACGAACATGTTTAAAATATTATTTTAATAAACTTACTTCCTTAGTTAAAATATGTAAGACAATTTTTAAGGTAATTTCCTAAGAGTTGGAAGTTAAAAAATATAAAATATTTTTAGTGTAATCATTTTTTTAAAATTTTTCCTAATAAATAAATTATTTTATATTTATTTTAGAGTAAAATATCTAATTAAATAGTAAATATAAAAATATGATGTTATTTTAAAAATAAGTAACTATTTTATTGGGGGTAAAATTCAACTAAAAATGCATTGCATTTTTAAAAAGATGGAGTATGTATTTAATTTTTTTAAAAATACTAAATAAATTATTTTGTATGACTAATAAATTTAAAATATGAATAAAAATTTAAAAGAATGTATTAATAATAATATTTTAGTCCTATATATGTGACTTAACTATCAACTAATGATTGAATGAATGAAAATAAGAACTTAAATATAGAAGGCATATTTAAATTTTATAACTCTTAACTATTGATTTTAAGAAGAATTCATATAAATTTTAAAAATAAAAAACATTTATAATTAAGATAAAATAAATGGAAAAGTAATATATTTTACTTTAAATTTATTTTTTAATGGGGTTAATTTGTGATTTGAACCCTAAATTATAGATTTAAAGGCAATCTAAACCCTAAATTTTTAAAATGTATATTTTGAAGCCGAAATAATTAAAGTTAAAATAATTTTACTTTACCGTTAAATTTGAATAAATATTCAGTAATCTTTTAAAATTGAAATTTAATGTATAATTTTTATTAAATTTTACTGTCGCCTTCTCTTACCCGTGCAAATATTTTTTAATGGGCTCAAATGAACTAAGCCCATGCTAGCAAATTGGACAAGGCCCAAGATTTATAGCCATCGAACTATTGTTATGCTCTCCTTATCAAATTCATCAAGCTCTGTAAGTTGAACACCTTCCGTCGTTTCACAGTCCAACTTCACATTCTAACCTTCTTCTCAACGCAGTGTGACACAATGTGGCGACTATGTTAAAGTCAAGAATGAATCTTCAAGACGGGGGGGGGGGGGGGGGGAGCCACATTTCTACAGAGAAAGGGAAAACAAACATGCAAAATATGAAAATGGATAGCAACTCGACTTTCGATTTGCTTCAATATTAGATACAATCGACCTCATGAGGCCATTACAAAGGGTTCACTGCCACCCAATTCTAATTGTCGAACTGACCCTGGATTTCAAAAATCAACATCATAGTTCATGACACCACATTTCACAAAAGTCACAAATAGCAAAAGACCTTATACCCAAAATTTCATCATAAAGAGCACAAAATTTAGAATGCACCACCAAGTTAAATAAATTCCCCAAATTAAATATATAAGTATTTTAAAAGCCAAATCAGACTGTAAACAAGAAAAGCTAATAACTCTTGATTCTCATGATTTAATTGATTAAATCCACGACCAAACCCCTAATGTAATAATTAAATAAAAATAAAATGAAATACATATATAACAATATAAATATAAAATTGTTTAAAAACAGATTAGCATCTACCATGCAAATTATTTTGGAAAAAAAAACCATGGATTGAGGATTTACAATTTTTTATTAAGGCTTTACTCGCTCAACGTTGTCATTTAATTTTGGAATTTAGATTTATTTTTCATTTTTAATTTTAAAAAAAAAAAAAGCATTAGACCAATCTAATCGGTCAGCTCAACCCAGTCTAACAACGGCTTCCGGTTCTTTACACGGTTCAACTTTTTGAACGTTCCCCCCCCCCCCCCAACACAAAAAATAAAAAAATAAAAAAATAAAAAAATAAAAAAATACTGAACCATTATACCATCCGGCCTCCAATCCAACCAGACCAATCCGGATTTTAAAACACCGATATATATATTATATATAATCAATAATGTGTCTGCATTTTACACAGCGTCAATTCTCCAAGAAAGCTAAGACAATAAGGGAAACTACAAGGAAAGAAAAGGATTACAATCTTGTACAAATATACAGGAGAAAAGTTCTGCTCTCAAGCAGGACATACCATATTTTCACCTTGATATGCTGTGTGATTCACATTGCTTGAAGATTTATCAACATCCACATCTGTACTTTGAATTGAGCCTTCTTCAATATATTTGGTGATTAAATTCGCCCCAGTATGACTACCTGAGGCTCTGGCCTGTAGTGCTTCAATATACAAAACCTTGACCAGATTCCTAAATCGCCGTCGGAATGTCGGTATCCGGGACATGGAAACTACAATTCCCTGTAACCTGATAGGAGAAGAAGAGGGGAGAAGCAATAATCAAATTATAAACGATGTGATTCATTCCTGGTAAGGACTCACTAGTTGGTTTATTTATATTCGCTTGGGGGAATCTCTTGTGAGATATAGAAAATCATCAGAACCCACCATTAAAAGGTACTTCAAGCAGTGTACCCAAAAATAAATAAATAAAAGGTACTTCAAGCAACTTTTGATCAAGTTGCAAATACTTTCTATCAAAATCAAGTGTCACCCTTCAGGAATTAAAGCCTTCTGATCATTTGGACATGGCACAGCAGATTATCGTTTGTCACATAGCACATCAGCATTCGTCCAAAACTTACTCATGACTAAAAATCTCAGGAGGTAGTGTCTTGGTAGACAAGTTTAATGAGGAAATGAACATGAGGGTTTAAATCCTAAAGAGTAACAGTTTAGGATTGGCAGTGATTAGGATTTGTGCACTCCTCCTTCCATTTCTAAATATAAAAGAAAATAACCAACTCATACAATTTAAAAAAGTTAGTTAACTATAATAATTATATATAGAAAATAACCAATAGAAAATAACCAACTCATACAGTTTAAGAAAATTGATTAAGTGTAATAATTATATCTAATAAAAAGACTAAAATATCCTTGTTCTTAATCAAACTCCATTAATGTTTTGTCTTGTGAATGAAAACTATGATTTTATGATGGGTAATTTAGAAAAATTATAATAAATGTTTATTGAAATTTGTAATTTTGCTTATTAAAAAAAACAAAATACCACGTGATAGTTTTCTCCTATATTCAGAAGCAGGGAGTATTTCATATCAACAACTATACCTTCGTATTAGAGCTTGCAACTGTGCTCTCCTGATATTGCTATTTGATGGGAATTCAGCACCATCCCATTCCTCAGGTATCTCATTTTTGCATCTTATAACTAACTCTTTGAGGCAAATTTCTTCTGTTTCTTTCAGCTCAAGATTCTTTAATTGCTCTTTCATGATCAACAAGGGCCAATAAAACCACTCAAAACTTTATCCCGAGGTTCGTTCATCCTAGTCAGCTCAGCATCATCAGCTGCAAAGAAATGCACATGTGAAAGGCATGAAAATCAACATAACTTCCAAGAACAGAGGATTGAGTAAGAAAAGTACTGATCACCAATCCATCTGAATTGGACTTTGCAGAAGTTAGCAGACATTGAAGCAAGGTCCAAGCTGGTAACTTGATGCTTAATGTCTTACAATTGCCTTTCATTAGACATTCCTCAATGTCCTCGGCACTTATCAAACCATCATGAAGGAGTATTCTGCCATTCACCTCACATGACTTGAACAACCAGTCCCATACCTGCTAAAGATTTTGAAGACAGAAAGGTATTAAAAACTAGACTAATTATTAAACTGGTCAAGACACCGGTTTAAGAATTAATGATCAAAACTATAGTTGAACAGTGATCAAACCGATCATAAACAAGTCATTTTATTAAACTAATCAAGACACTAATTCAATGGTTCAACTAAGTGAGCTTACCAGGATTTCCACACTATATCAGAGACAGCCTCATAAATTGCTTTACTTAGTAATCTATACACCAGGCCATTTTTTATACTCTGTGTAACAGTGAGCCTAGAGTACTACAGACATGTATATTGCCACAAAAACTAGCTTCTTTGTCAGTGATCTAATTTATCTTTAAATGATGGTTGAATTGGATGTCGAGTTTTAGGCAATATTTGTTTTCAATCAAGAAATGGATAACTCAAACAGGAACAATAAAAATTGCTTTTCAGCATAGACATTTTGCCACCTGTACAGGTCTGTATAGCTGAAATTTCCCCTTCAAAGTTCTGGTTTGTTGTGGGATAAATCTTGAATTCCATGAGCCTTCTCTCCTGTATTTCATATCATCACTATCATTGCGTCCAAGGTTTTTCCATTCATGAATAGGCTTCACTTCTCTCTTGCATTTCGCATCATTGCCATCATTTTCTCCAAAGTTTTTCCATTCATGGGCATGTGTTGTTGTCATTTTTCTACGGTATTTTGGCCTGTTTGTCACAATAATATATCATAGTCAGTGATTCTTATCTCCGACAAGAACTAAATGTCACATCAAAGGGAGAATTAGAAAACACCTGGGAAGGCAGGATCCCTCTCTCAAGTATAGTAAATCATTTACATATTCATCAAAGAGGGAAACCACTGAGACAATGTAGGCAAATCCCATCTTCATTGAGTCTTCCTAGAAATAAAAAGCCAAAAAAAAAAAAAAACTTCAAAATCTTTCAAATCTTACTAAGAATGGTAAAAAGAATCAGTTTAATTAAGATTAAAGTATTTCACTTAATTTTAAATTTAGCCCTTAAGGACTTAAATAATAATAATAATAATGAGGTCCTTATAGGTCAAAAAATTTTTAGTGCTCAGCCCCTGCATTAAACCCTGGTAACTATAACATTAGATTCTGCACGTGGCCGATCATGTATCATTTTGACTGTCTAGATATAAAAGATTTTCAAACGAGTGGTTAAAAAAAAAAAGAAAAAAAAAAAACTACATCATCTACTTTTATCCCTTTAGCTAGCATGAATCATGAACCGTGAATATTTTAGATTGCAAAGATGGCATATGATTGGCCACGCCAAAAAAATTTAATGACAAACGAAAGTTTAATGATAGGAACTGAAGTAAAATTCTTTACTCAATTGCAAACTTCCAAACTACAACGACCACATTATGAAGTGAGAGAAAATATAGAGAGCAACAAATTAATCACTTGGATAACAACATACTAGCATTATATGAATAGAATTTAAGGTGTCTAGTAAAACCATCATCGTATTTTGACAGACCTGATGTACTACAGCTCCACTGTAAAGGCTGAGAAATAAGCTGGATATGCTGGCTGCTAATACAGCCCCTACAACAGCTAAAGGCCAGAGGATGATGGCAAGGCCAGCAATGGGACACACATGGTTTCCAAGAAAGGTCCCTCCCTTCCAATCAGATCTTCCAATAGCCTCTTCCATCCTCTGAACAGCATGTAAGGGCTTTTCCATATAGCAATAGACGTGATTAAGATCATATCGAATGGCATCCCAACCATGATCACCAACAAGCAACTTGGTAATAATGACAATCTAGAATGAAAACAGGGCAAGTGTCTAACCATTCACCAAAAAATTTGATGCTTGATTTTTAAACAAGTAATCAGAAATGAAAATAATCAACTCACTTCACATCGAATGGCTTTTCATCAGGAGGTAAGTTCTCTCTCAGTTCATCCATGTACGAGAAATAGGAATGGAAACAACAATCCGTGAAGTCCTGAACTACCATGCAGCTTCTTTCAATCGTGGACCAACAGCCATCCTGTTTTCAATGGTAAGACTCATTTAAGTTTTCTGCACTCCATATAAGTCAACAAGATCAAAAGCCACTATATAGATTGACTGATAAACCCAGAATTGTATTGCTTACTTATATAAAATATCCTACTATTGGCATCCACGAACACGGAGGATACAGTCCTCTAGAGACCTAAATTCCTAGGAAGTAGTCACCTTGTTATAGTTCAGCCCCTATTTACCCTTTTGCAATCCAGGCATGCCGTTGGTGCCCTCACAGACTTTTGTTTCCATTTAATTACACAAAGAAGGATACACATACACCAATTGTTTCACTATTAACTTAAAAAGGAACTAAAATTTCGTTTCATAAAAACCCCAGTAAACCCAATAAACTTATAAGTGAAGTTTACAATCATTAGTCTTACCAAGAGAAAGGATAAGATGTACAAAATATAAACGGATAAATTGAATACTAAGCAAAACTTTTCAAAAGCATAACTATCTATGAAATGCAGATGTGTTCGTGTCTAACACATGTTAGGCACTCATATTAGGATTGACGAGATGCATTAAATTACATATGGACATTTCCAATTTGGCCATGTTAGGGAGTGTCATGTTCTGGATCCTCTCAATACATTTCTTTATACTCAATCTCATCCATTCATTTAATTATTATTATTATTATTGTTTTGGTTTAGTGGTGTGAGATTATTAGTTATAACATTAAAATAAATATAGTATTCATTCAATGGCTATCGTTAATAAGCATTGTGATCATATTTTCAAAAGCATTTAAGTGATGATAGTGAATATAACCTATTTATTTTAATGCCATAACTAGCAATCTCGCACCATTAAACTAAAACAATAATTAAATGAATGAATAAGATTGAATATGAAGAGTTGAGAGAGGATATAGAGAGGATCCAAATCGATCACGTATTGTATCCAAATCCATACTTCCTTCATACAAAACAGCAACAAGCCTTATCCCAATTGGGGTTGGTATGTATATCCATGTGAGATTCAACAAAGTTTTACGTCAATTATTAAGAGCTTAACACAACCCTTCTCCTTTTCCCAAGCTTGGGACCAACTATATAACATAGACAGAGTTCCATACTTCCTTCATAATTTGCACTAAAGTAGAATAGACAAATATGAGTCGAAATTGACACTCACCATTAAGCAATGATAAAATTCCCCAATGACATCGTTTCCAACAGCCTCAAAAGTTGCCAGAAGGGGAGAGAAGAACCCATATCCTATTCCACCTAAAAGGCTTCCAACAATACCAACTATTGGCCGGAGAAACAAGGGAACTGGCAAACATAACAGCCCCAGAGTCTTCAAAACCAACCCAAACCTTTTAGTTCTGATTCAAGAGGAAAAATTAGCAAAAGGGTAATTATATGTGACAGAAAGGAGGGTAAATTTCACGCAATTTAAACACTAAAATCTATTACCAAAAATTAAAGAAAGATAGAAAGAGTGAAAGAAATTCTTCACATCCATTTCCAGGTGAAATTAATGCAACCTGGCCACACAATAGTAAGTCCAAACAACATGTGCTATCCAAAGTCCAATGATGACAGCTGAATTGCCAATCAAAATGATGGTTACGGCAAATGGGCATATGATTGTCGCTGTCAAATAACAAAGACAGGGAGAAAAAAGGGTTATTCCGTTATCATCAGAAACTTGCGACACACATGAATTAGAGCTTACTAGATTTTAATGGAAGTATTAAATTTCAGTCAATTTATGGAACCGAAAAGATATGCTATCTAGTTTTAACATCAAAATCACATTGCGTCCTGCTTTTTAACAGCAACTGAGACTTAACCTTTTCTTTTTCACTCGAGTCCAGAGTTTACGAAGTAACCTTTCACAATTAAATTGCGATTCTTATAAATTCAATCATCTACCTAAGCAATTATGGCAAAGTTCCTACGATAATATGACTAAGAAACAAAGGATTAATCCTACAGAAGGTAACATAGAAAACCGAAGAACAAAACGGAAAATGAAATTGGGAATTGAGAATGTGTGCACCTTTGAGAACGCCCAGGATCAAAAGCAAGAAGAAGAATGGGAGAAAAGAGATAAAGCTCCACAACTTGGCCATGAAACCCATAAGAATCTCCATGACTGATACGTCTTGAGATAAAGTTAATGGGTTCTTTGTTGATCCGTTGTGTTTCCTTGAAGTTATTGCTTCACAGTTTTAGAGTGAAAAGCGTTTGCATGAAATAGTGAGATACACGTGGCAGGATTTAAAGATCGCCACATGCTGGTGATGGTGGGGTCAATTGAGACTCGTGGCGTAACATAAGCGATTTGACCCGAGACGCATAAACTTAACTTTAACCCATTGCATGGGAGTCCTGTGGCAATGGCAATGACGTGTTTTTTTTTTTTTTTTAACTTACTTTTGAAAAATATCATATATTAATATATTAAAATTAACTCATACTAACTCTCTTGTGATATGCTCCAGGAACATTTAATACAACGATGATTATACACATACGAGTGATTACTAACTTCATAGTTTTGATAAAAAAAAGTTAAAATGTATGAAACTTTTCTAAATTTTAAGGCATTTGTATATGACTTTATCATTTTTCAACATTTAAAATTAATTTCCTAACCTTTAATTTTGTTTTTCAAAATCCTCTACTATTAATTAACTGTTATTTTATTAACATAGTTATTACCATATCATATTAATGCAATACACATGGCATATGATATGAAAAAAATATTTTAATTATTTTTAACACAATTTATGAAGGGATAAAATTGTAATTTATTTTTAACGCGCATGATGATGCTCTCATTTTTAAAATTGAGAGACAATGTTCTCATTGTTCACAAGTAATACAAGTTAAGAGAAAAATAATAATTTTATTATTATTTATAAATTAAAATAGTCTTTTATATTAAACAAATAAAAAAATCTAAATGCTGCCATGGATAAAAATCATATAAATTTTGTTATCTACTTTGTTTATTTTCTTCATACTATTATTTATTTGTAGCTGTTATTTTTTCATTTGAATGAAGTTTTCAATATTTATTCTAATAAAAAAAATGTTACTGGTATATTATAAATGGAATGTGTGCATTTTAGCCTATAAAAATAAATACTCAATGGAATATACAATACATAATGAAGATGCTAAATATGAATTATTCTGCGTTTTAAATGTGAATGCTCATCACAATTAAATGATTATTACTAAAATAACTTAAGGTAGGTCAAAGCACATGATGTTGCACTCTAATTTTCGTAGTGTAAATAATACTATGATTTGCTCGTGATCTAATCACAATGCCTAGCTTGGTTTATTAAATCACAGCCATGCTTCTTATGTTTGTTACAAATCCTCTCACCCCCTCCTTTCACTTTTTAATTTCTTTCTATCCACCTTTCAATATTGATTGGTGAAATATATCTGAGAAAAAAAATTGAGTTTACTTTCAACACTAATAATCAATGGTAAAAATGCTCTTGTAACACTAATGAATATATAATATAGTGAAAGTGATTTAGCATTTACATTTGTATTATATATTCAATCATGGACTATATCTTACAAATAAACTAATAAAGTACCTGTGCGATGCATGAGTTTTATACTATAATTTTTATGAACAGGCCTAAAAGAATAACTTGTAATAGACATTATATATATATATATATATATATAATATATATAATATATATATATATAATATTATTCTATAAGCCATGGGGCTATATAATTATAATCATTAGTATTAAATATACTTATTAGAGTAAAGTAAATGGTAAAAACTAAATGCATACTATGTAAATGGATACGATGGGAAGTAGATTGACAAAAGTTCATAATTATTTATATCAAATTATTGAAGACATATCTATAAACGACATTAAAAGTTCTATCTCTAGAGTGATGATCCTTATCAAAAACTAATTTTTTAGACTCTCAATGCTTCGAACACAAGAAACAACAACATATAATTAGTCATTGGTGAAAACAAGATGAGGTATGTACAAACTAACATGACACAGGATTAAGTCCTCACTCTTTTTAATGGACATTGCAAAGGCTAACATAATGGAAAATTGCCTCTAACAACCTTGAATCAGATGGAGACATAGCAATGCGTGGTATACATACTTTCATCCTTGTAATTGATCCAGACATTTCTTGAGCTTCAGTAACATGTTTTCTAGCTCATGTAACTATAAGGTGTGTGCCATTGTATAACCCTATAAACTTATCAATATTCTAATTCTTATTAAAATTAGGGCACCCACTTTAAGCATTATTTCATAATTCAGAAGGCTTGACATTATAATTTAATTTAGAAAATGTGTAGAGTGCAAGTTATTATGTAAATTCATACTACTACTATTTCTAAACTCTCTTTAAGAGTAGATATATAAACAATGAAGCTCTCTAATAATAAATGATACATAGAAGGTAGGTAAACTTTAATGCTCAAATAAACACAAAATGTTTTGTTGGCTCACGTTGTTCCTCCTTACTCTAGGTTTCATAAATGAGTCTATTTATAATTGAGGATCATAAATAATTTGTTAGATTCATAAATTTTTCCATTGGAGGTTGCTTGTGATCTATTTCCTTGGATATCCGAGCTTTTTTTAAGTTCTTCGGTGGATAAGGCAATGGAACTGTGCTTTACGACTAAAACTTCATCTTTTGTACAGTAACGGCTAAAAACATTAAATTCTTCTGACAAAAGTGGTTGAAGCTTATACATTTTGGTATAACAAAAAGCAAGCTTGGTGACTCAATTAAAGATAAGCAAACTGAATAACTTCAAGGAAATAATTATGTCTAAATGTAATTTGGTAAAGATATAGAGTGAACAAAATTGATTTCGGATAAAGAAAAGAATTGAAAGATGAGTTCTGTGACCTTCAGAATTGATACAAAAAATAGAGCATAAAAATTCATAGTAGCACCGGTGTTACAATGTCCTAGCACTGGTGTTATAGTGATGAGCAAACTCTGAAAGAAAGTCATAGCACGGTGATGTTCTGATAGTACCGGTGTAGTCCAATACGTTAAAGATTAGACAATACCAGTGTTAGAAGAAAATAACACCAAAGTAACATAATCAATCAAACCTTTTTGTAGGAGAAAAGAAGGGACAGCACTAGTGTTGAAGTGTTAGCATAGGTGTTACAAAAACTTGTACAAAAATTAGTACAGGTGCTAACGAGATAACATAAGTGTTGTCTTAGTTCAAATAAGGATATGGGAGAAATAAGATTGATGTTAAATAGATAGTACCAATGCAAAGAAAAAGGTTCAATAATAAGAGAAAATCAATTGCACAGTTTTAAAGGGATAATACTGGTGTTTGAATGAGTAGGATTGATGTTATATGAAACACGAATCAATAGAATAGCGAAGATAACTGAAGTAGCATCATTGTTAAAACTTCCAGTATCGGTGCTAACAACACTTAGAAACACTTTAGAACAAGACAGCTTCAAGTACAAAAATTATAGTTAAGTCAAATACTTAACTAATAAGATAGCATACCTTCTATTACGTATAAACTTACACTTAGTCAGATTTGATTAATGTTAAGCATATTAACTTAGGTTCAAGTTAAAAAAACTTAAAACGCATAAAACTTCTCTTTATTTTGTAATTATCAAAACCGGGGTTCAACATTTCTCTCCTTTTTTGATGATGACAAAACTTAGATGCAAAGTGTTAGTTCTTGGAGAGACTTTGGTCTTTACTTCTTAAAAGAGATAAATGCATATTAAAATAGAAGAAATGCACAATATATAGATATATAGATATATATATATATATATATATGTATATATGTATATGTATGTATGTATGTATATTTAAAAGATGTTATAAAGAGAATATCAAAGAATATGTAATAGATAAACCAACAAACAGACAAACAAACACTCAATTCACTTCTTAAAGATAGTACCAAAGAAATTTATTAACTCATAGAATTTCTTGGTAGTAGGAAATAAAGGTTTGGGTGTTTCAAAAGGTTGAGAGGTTTGAGCTTTAAAGGTTTTAGATGAATGTTAAGGCTTAGGAGTCTCAGAATCCTTTGCTTTGAATCTGCTGAGTCTTCTCACAATAGGTTGACCTTTATGCTTGCCACTTCCTAAATCTTCAACCACATACTTGTCTAACCCACCACCTTGAACCTTACTGTGAACCTTACTATCTACCTCTTTTCTAGACTTTGCATCCTTACTCTTCTCCTTTTTTCATCAGTAGAGGGCTTGGATAGATCAACAGGGATAAAAAGATATGAGGAATGCATGTAAGAAGAAAAGGTACCACTTTCAATCCAAACTGGTATGTTCTTGAACCTTGGTAGAGGCTTGGAAATTGCACCAGATCCTAAAATGATAGTGAGAGGTGTAGGAGACAATACAAAATTAGGATTTCTCCTAATCAAGTCTTGAAAGGCCTTTGTGTAGTTGATCCCAAAGAAGAAGGAAGTAGAAAGTAGAGGTGACTATGTAGACTTCAATTCCTCCTCATCATCAGAAATCTCAATATATTCTCTGGCAACCTTTATTATAACCAGTGCAAGCTTATTGCCGTTTGATGCATGTGACTCAACCCCTCCTGAACAATCTTCAAACATAGCTCTCAGTTCAAAATTAATAGAGAAAACTAGTCCAACCCTTAGATTTCCAATCTTGGAGGGTTTCTGAGTAGGTCACTGTCAATTTCCTCCTCATTACCTTTTTTAGAAGTAGAGGTACTGGATGTGTGTACTGATACAAAATCTTCAACAAACTCTGGTCTGGCATTCTCATGTATAGAGATATCAGTAGGGGTACCCATCCTAAAGGGAGAGTAGTGCTCAAATGTGTCCCTTAGTCCACTTGGTCTACCTCCCAAACTCAAAACTTGAGCTCCTAGCAAACCAATTTCTTCCTTGAATTATTCTCTAATCTCTTCAGAAGCTTTCTTTAGTTTCTAATCAAAGTCCTCAGCTTATCTCTCAAGATATAGGGTGAAAAGCTCAGCTTGAATCTTGACATCTAAATCAAGATATATACCTCCTAATGGTGGTGGGATAGATGAGTCATATCAAATAGGTTAAGACTCTTATCTGACTTGAGCACTAGGAGTTGCTACTGAGTGCGCTTTAGTTTGAG